CAGCTGAAAAGCTGACAAACCTGTGGCCCTCTAACTAGATTATACAGCATTACAAAAAACTGATAAATGAATAAATATATAAATAATTACAAAATTCTATGATAAAAATAGCAGGACCTATAAAAAATATTCAGAAAGATAAAATTAATTTATAAAAAATTAAAATTAAAATTAGGTAGTGTGCTATTGCTTAATATTGTTTCAAAGTTGTCCAGGTTTTTATATCAGCTTATAAAATGCTTTTTCACAGCTGTTTTGAATAGATTTATACTAGGCTTTTTTTGATATCATGGGGAAGGCTGTTCCATAACTTAACTGCGTCAACACTGAATGCCTTGCCACCATCGTTATTTCTTAGGTATTTGGGACACACTAAATTTAAATTGCCATGTCTCGTGGACCTATTGTGAACAGAACTGTTCGTCTTGAACAAATCTTTGGTATAAATAGGAACATCGCATTTGAGGCTCTTAAAAATCATGGCACATTTGTTTAGTTTTATTTCGTCAAAAAAAGGCAACCAGCCTAGTTTACTAAAGTTTACAACACTTCTAGAATAAGGGTCTACTCCAAGAATTACTCGGGCAGCCCTTTTCTGTAACCTTAGGAGACAGTGGAGTTCTTTAACGTCGCAGGTATTCCAAACCATGCTCCCGTACATAAGGACGGGTTTAATCAAAGCGTTATAGTATAAAAGTCTTTCTTTTATTGGAAGGTATCTCGTTATCTTTTTCAATAACCAATACGCTGAGAAAGCTTGGCCTTTAGGCTAGAAATGTGGTCACTAAATGTAAGATCTTGATCGAGTGTTACACCAAGCAATTTATAAGAGGTTACTTGTTCTATTTCGGCCCCATCAAGGGTCACTGACAGGTGATTGCCATCAACTAATGATGAATGTAGCCTCTTTCCGGTGATAAGTAATGCTTTGGTTTTAACAGCGTTTAGGACCATCCCATTTTCGCTAGACCATTTACTTCATTTATCCATGTATTCTTGAAGACGTCGTTCCAATTCCAAAGGTGCATTATCGATATTAGCGCTGGCTTTAAATGTGGTGTCATCCGCGTAAGCATGAATAGTTGAGTCCGATCCAACAGCTTCGGGAAGATCATTGACGAAAATTAAAACAGTAGAGGTCCTAATATGCTACCTTGAGGAACTCCATTGGTTAGCATAAGTTGTGACGAAGTCGAGTTATTTACAGTGACACACTGTTTGCGATTGAGTAGATAGCTCTGCAATAGCTTTACAACATTATCTGGAAATCCATATGATCTTAACTTTACTAGGAGAATGTCATGATTGATCAAGTCGAATGCCTTGCTATAGTCCACAAAGACTAAGCCGCTGACATTGTTTTTATCAAGGTCAAGTAGGACTTGGTTCAGAAGAAACAACAAAGCAGTATCCGTGGAGTGGTTTTTACGGAACCCTGATTGGAAGCGGTATAAAAGTGCATTTTCTGTTAAGTAGGTGCTCATTGCATTGAAGATGTGTCTTTCAAAGACTTTAGAAAGAATAGGCAAAATACTAATTGGACGATAGTTTTGAATATCTTGCTTGTTTCCTTGATTCTTGAATAGTGGTTTAACCTTTGCTATTTTCCATTGTGAGGGAAATGTACAAGTTTCAATACAGTGATTTATAATTTTAGCTATGGAGCATGATATTTCAGGAGCTGCAATCCTTAGAACTCTGGCACCAAGCCCATCGATTCCCGTGGCTTTGTGTGTAGGTATACTTAGAAGATAATCGTTAACCTCACTAGGAGTTATTTGCGGAATAAGATTCTCAATTTGACTGTTAGATTTGTCTTGTGGACCAGGAAGAGCATCATAATAAAGTATAGGTGCCGCTTTTATGAGACGTTTATATACATCAGCGAAGAAGCGGTTAAAGCGTTCAGCGATTGAATGGTCATCCTTTATCAGGTTGTTGTTTTTGTCAGCAATAGGGACGGAGTCGTCATTATTCCTTGTATCTTTAGATAGGTCTTTAATTAAAGACCAAAGTTTCTTTGGACATTTTTGATTTTTACTGAACTAAGTTTTAAAGTGCTGTTCCTTCGCATTTCTTAGTTTCCTCGTCACTTTGTTTTTAATCAGTTTAAAAGCAGACCAATCTTGTTCATTTTGTGTTCTCCTGGCCCTCTTTAGAAGATAATCGCGTTTATTTATTTCGTTGTATAGATCATTAGTGAACCATTTCGGCTGATTGATTTTCTTCACACTCTTGAACTTTAAAGGTGCGTGATTATCAAGAATGTCATTAAAGGTTTTGTACCAAGATTCAACAATGTTATCGGCATCTCGAAAAACAAAGGAGATATCCCAAGGGGCTTCTCTTAAGTCTCGTAGAAAGCACTCTTTGTTGATTTTGTCGATATTTCTGTATTTGATTTTGGAATGTTGTTTACGTTGTGCATCCATGGTTTTGTAGCACCTCAAGATACTGACCGGCAGGTGATCGGAAAGTCCAGATTTACCTATGGCTACTTCTCTAATTCTAGCAGGATGACTAGAATAAATATGGTCTAAGCACGCATCAGAGGCAGGTCTTGTTACTCTATTTACTATCTGCGTTAATCCAAGACTGTTCAGTGTCTTTGCTAGTGTTATCACCAGAGCGCATGCTCGCCACTAAAATAAACGAGTAGTGTGTTGTTGTTCAATTATGTGTTCAATCATCAAAATTTGACAAATTCCTATCTCATCCCTCTGTGCTCATCTTTCTTCCCTATCTCATCCCTCTATGCTCATTTTTCTTCCCTATCTCATCCTTCTGTGCTCATCTTTCTTCCCTATCTCATCCCTCTATGCTCATCTTTCTTCCCTATCTCATTCTTCTATGCTCATCTTTCTTCCCTATCTTATCCCTCTATGCTCATCTTCTTCTCTATCTCATCCTCCTATGCTCATCTTTCTCTTGCATATACTACAGTTTCTTTCATGTTTTCACCCTACACATTTTCTTTTCTTTCTTCCTTTTCTAAATCTTTTCTCGCTTACTTTTTCCTGCCAAGACCTTTCTAACATTGGTATCAAATTTCCTTTAGGATAAGGGTTGGAAAGACAGATGGCTTTGTGTAGATGGTCGTCGAGTTATGTACTTGGAGAAAGCAACGGTAATTATATCCTAATGTCTGTGTCATAAGACAGGAAATTGCTGATGTAAAGATTCACTTCAATTCGTATTGTTGTGACGCTACTTTGTGCTCAAATTTAATTATCTCTCTGTGCACATATTTTTTATAAAATTAAGACGAGTACACAACCCGCTGTATTTAAATAGTTTGTAATATATTTAATAATCAGCGGCGTGGGTCTTGTATGATTGTGATCACGTGGTTGATGACGACTTGTTGTCATTTTAAATTTTGTTACTTACCCCTTGATGCGTTGCTGGTTTCTAGGACGCGTTCCCGAAAGGCGAATTTATATTAGGCACGAAAGGCTATGACGTCACCTCGGGTTTTAACGAATACGAGGCCCCGCTCGGCTACGGCTTTTCGATTCACACACCAGATCGAGTTTACGAATTCAGTGCTGGCACGGAGGACGAACGGGACGAGTGGGTTAAAGATTTGAAGAAAATAGTATCAACGTCCTGACGGAAGAAGATAGAAAAGGTTTGTAAGAATATGTTTCACTTGTGAATTTCCGACCTGCTTAATCAGATTGTAATTTGTTAAAAACCTACTGAGTTAATGTCAATTGTACCATCACCATCTTGGCATGGAAAACTGCATATTGATTTTCTTGACCTTATAACGTCATTAAAAATAACAACATTGGTGTAGTCCGTGTGGCATATTTATTTGCATACCGTAAATAGTCTAATTAACGCCTCGGGCGTTTAATAAATTCTGGCGGTTGTAGTGAGGAGATAATTTCATGCAAGTTAAAGGAGAAACTCCCGCGTGTTTCACGATAAGTTCACGCGTTGTTCTCATTATATTCACACTTATTTCATGATAACTGACTAAATATATATCGAGGCAGTTATTGCTTGAGGTTTTGCCAACTGGACAATCGCATAACCGTGTTTTAATAATCTCTTTCCAGCAATTACGTTGAGCGAAGATTTAGAAAGAAAAAAATCTCAACAAAGTTCATTATCCAGAATAAGTCAAAAATTTTCATAACATATAAATTATATTAATCTTTATATAGATATATATATCTATATTTTTGTATATGATGCACCTAAAAGTCAAATGCCTTCAGACTTATATTCAATAAACCAAGAGTTGCTAAATATACAGTAGCGACAATAGTTCATGTTGCAAAATGTATGTAAATTTATTGTACTGCCGTATAGGAAAAGAGCCGTGTCTATGATAAATACCACACACAAATTTTATATTTATAACCGCAGAATTTTATTCACTTTTAATGATAAACCATACAATTGTTGATTTGTAAACATTTTCGCTCATGTAACAAGGCATGTTGATGTTTTATAAAATATTTTATAAAATATATAACAGTTTTACAATTGAAGAATAGTAGTGTGTTTTTTGAATGCCACCATAGTTCGCCTCTGGAATATGTCACGTGAGAGAGCCTGGCATGGTTCTTGACATTATTTGATAACGTCATACTCAATGATTTAGAACCCAATCCCCAAGATGTGAACGTGACATCCTTAGACAAGGACCCATCTTGAATGGTGGCAAAACCAAAACTCTCAATCAAAATAAGCTGAAATTTTTAAGGAAAATTTTAAAAACCAAACCTATACTATCAACTCTGCAATAGCGTTTCAATAAAAAAAAAGCAGACTTTAGTCGTAAATATCGTCAATTTTGCCACCTTTCAAGATGGAGGCTTGCCAAACTCGTAACTAAAAATTTGGCGGTGTCCGGTATCTAGTAGACTGGGTTCTAGGTCGTGGCATCCTGCTTACTTCATTTGGGTAGTTCTTTTTGGTGTATGCAACATTTAGTGGCGTATACAAGGCGCGATTGAAAAAATTAAAATCAACCAAACAATCACTAACACGATAAAAAAGATTTAGTAATAATTCAAAATAAATGGTCACACTGCCCCATGTATGACAATATTAATCGACCATCTATTCGTCGTAGCCTCTCTGTGAGCGAGCAAAATTTAAAAATATCTCATCCAGTGTGGTTTGCTTTATAGAATAATTACCGATAACAGAACGGCTGAGCGCATCTTCTAAGATCGCAAACAGGGAAGACCAAGAGCTTTTTGAGTCGCCTATGTGGTAATTCAACCAGCCATTGTGCTCGTTTCGAAGTACACTACCTGGGAACGTCTCTGCCACGAATTCTTTTACCAAGGTCGAGTCATTACTAGGCGTGTCACTTGGAGGGTTTACCAACAAAGTAAATCCTTGAAAGAATTTGTTCTTCAGGTGTTGCGGGCTACCGAGAAAGCGAAATTTGCCATTTTCCATGATTGCCAACCGAGTACACAACGCCTCGCATTCTTCCATACTATGTGACGTAATCATCAGGCATCGACCTAAGGGGAGAGAGGAGGGGACAAAATGATTACCAATCATAAGGCATCGACCTAAGTAGAGAGAGGAGGGGACAAAATGATTACTAATGACGGTTTTTTTGTAACTGGCACTTAATTGCACTTGCGAGAAATTGAGCACAAGGCAAACCTTTCTTAATCATAGTCACGTGATAAATGTATTAATGTAAATTTCTTTGAGTTCCATTAACTTGTGATAACGTCATATTATACTTTATGACGTCATAACATACGTATTGTTTCTATACATAGAGCGTTTTCATGGGTCGTCACAGAAATATTTTTAAAAAGCTTCTCAAGGAGAAAAATATCGATTTTCAAAGACCAAGTTCAAATTTATTTGATGGCATTTCTGTCGTACTCAGCATGCGTTCAATGCATTTTCAGGTAATAAATTTAACTGACATATACGCATAGATAAGACACAGACAAAATACGCGAAGGTAAGACACTTAATTGTGACTTCATTCCTATCGTGATAAACTCGCAAATTAAGGCAAAGAATACGCTTAGTAATTGCCCAAATTATTACTATTTTTACTTGAAAAGATGAAAAATACGATTACAAAATCAAAACTAAAGTAGTTTTCAAGGGGTGTTGGAATTTTGTCTTTCTTCAAGGGCTTTTCAAATACATTAAAGAGACATTAAGATTCAAGAGCTTTTCAAAGAGTTAAAGGAGTAGCGGGAGCCCTGTTTAAGTCAATAAGCTCAGTATCTATCAATATCATCGATATAGTTAGCGTTCATCGCTATTGTTTGATTCAACCTATCACAAAAGCCATTCATTCGTATTCAGAAAATGAAATTTGCCAACAATGTTTAAAGGATGAAGTAAAATAAAGTATGATTAAAAACGCTAACTCTGACATTTTTTAATAATAGCGAAAATGGCGCTCATATTAGGCGGGTATGAACTGCATGTAATTGCATTCTTAAACACATCTCCCCCCCCCCGCGGAAGGAAACCCGCTTCATCACCAGTTTCATACCTTCGGCTCTGACTCTACATAAAGTGTTCCACAACAGTCGTCTTGCAACAGGATCCATTCCAGTTGTTGGTTCATCGAGAAAAACTATGAGTGGATCGCCAATCAAAGCTATCGCTGTACTTAGTTTGCGTTTGTTTCCACCACTGTAAAAAGAAAAGGTAATCTTTGTATTCGTGATCTAAGGAGCCTGGGATTGCTATAAAAAGATGGCAGATTTTCGACGCGTCACATGCATAATTTCCACATAAAATCACTCCTGATGAAGACACTAAACTGGAGAATATAAGGATTAAAGTTTAAGATCAGATCACTCCTGATGAAGACACTAGATTGGAGTAAATAAGAACTAAAGTTTCAACATCAGATCACTCCTAATAAAGATACTAGACTGGAGTATGTAAGAACTAAATTTCAACAAAAGATCACTCCTGATGAAGATATTAGACTGGAGTATATAAGAACTAAAGTTTCAACAAAAGATCACTCCTGATGAAGATACTAGACTGGAGTATATAAGAACTAAAGTTTCAACAAAAGATCACTCCTGATGAAGATACTAGACTGGAGTATATAAGAACTAAAGTTTCAACAAAAGATCACTCTTGATGAAGATACTAGACTGTATATAAGAACTTAACTGGAGATACTAGATGAGAGATACTAGACTGGAGTATATAAGAACTTAAGTTTTAACAAAAGATCACTCCTGATGAAGATATTAGATTGGAGTATATAAGAACTAAAGTTTCAACAAATGATCACTCCTGATAAAAACACTAGACTGGATTACATAAGATCTGAAGTTTCAACATCAGATAACTATAGTTAAAAAGACAAAAGACTGGAGTACATAAGAACTAAAGTTTCAACATCAGATAACTCCAGATAAAGACACTAGACTGGAGTATATAAGAACTAAAGTTTCAACATCGGATCACTCCAGATGAAGACACTAGACTGGAGTATATAAGAACTAAGTTTAACATCAGATCACTCCAGATAAAGACACTAGACTGGAGTATATAAGAACTAAAGTTTCAACATCAGATCACTCCAGATAAAGACACAAGACTGGAGTATATAAACTAAAGTTTCAACATCAGATCACTCCAGATAAAGACACTAGACTGGAATATATAAGAACTAAAGTTTCAACATCGGATCACTCCAGATGAAGACACTAGACTGGAGTATATAAGAACTAAGTTTCAACATCAGATCACTCCAGATAAAGACACAAGACTGGAGTATATAAGAACTAAAGTTTCAACATCAGATCACTCCTAATAAAGATACTAGACTGGAGTATATAAGAACTAAAGTTTCAACAAAAGATCCCTCCTGATGAAGATATTAGACTGGAGTATATAAGAACTAAAGTTTCAACAAAAGATCACTCTTGATGAAGATACTAGACTGGAGTATATAAGAACTTAAGTTTCAACAAAAGATCACTCTTGATGAAGATACTAGACTGGAGTATATAAGAACTAAAGTTTCAACAAAAGATCACTCTTGATGAAGATACTAGACTGGAGTATATAAGAACTTAAGTTTTAACAAAAGACCACTCCTGATGAAGATATTAGACTGGAGTATATAAGAACTAAAGTTTCAACAAAAGATCACTCCTGATAAAAACACTAGACTGGATTACATCAGATCTAAAGTTTCAACATCAGATCACTCCAGATAAAGGCACAAGACTGGAGTATATAAGGACTAAAGTTTCAACATCAGATCACTCCTAATAAAGATACTAGACTGGAGTATATAAGAACTAAAGTTTCAACAAAAGATCACTCCTGATGAAGATATTAGACTGGAGTATATAAGAACTAAAGTTTCAACAAAAGATCACTCCTGATGAAGACACTAGATTGGAGTATATAAGAACTAAAGTTTTAACAAAAGATCACTCCTGATAAAAAAACTAGACTGGATTACATAAGATCTGAAGTTTCAACATCAGATAACTACAGATAAAGACACTAGACTGGAGTACATAAGAACTAAAGTTTCAACATCAGATAACTCCAGATAAAGACACTAGACTGGAGTATATAAGAACTAAAGTTTCAACATCAGATCACTCCAGATGAAGACACTAGACTGGAGTATATAAGAACTAAGTTTAACATCAGATCACTCCAGATAAAGACACGAGACTGGAGTATATAAGAACTAAAGTTTCAACATCAGATCACTCCAGATAAAGACACAAGACTGGAGTATATAAACTAAAGTTTCAACATCAGATCACTCCAGATAAAGACACTAGACTGGAATATATAAGAACTAAAGTTTCAACATCGGATCACTCCAGATGAAGACACTAGACTGGAGTATATAAGAACTAAGTTTCAACATCAGATCACTCCAGATAAAGACACAAGACTGGAGTATATAAGAACTAAAGTTTCAACATCAGATCACTCCTAATAAAGATACTAGACTGGAGTATATAAGAACTAAAGTTTCAACAAAAGATCCCTCCTGATGAAGATATTAGACTGGAGTATATAAGAACTAAAGTTTCAACAAAAGATCACTCTTGATGAAGATACTAGACTGGAGTATATAAGAACTTAAGTTTCAACAAAAGATCACTCTTGATGAAGATACTAGACTGGAGTATATAAGAACTTAAGTTTTAACAAAAGACCACTCCTGATGAAGATATTAGACTGGAGTATATAAGAACTAAAGTTTCAACAAAAGATCACTCCTGATAAAACACTAGACTGGATTACATCAGATCTAAAGTTTCAACATCAGATCACTCCAGATAAAGGCACAAGACTGGAGTATATAAGGACTAAAGTTTCAACATCAGATCACTCCTAATAAAGATACTAGACTGGAGTATATAAGAACTAAAGTTTCAACAAAAGATCACTCCTGATGAAGATATTAGACTGGAGTATATAAGAACTAAAGTTTCAACAAAAGATCACTCCTGATGAAGACACTAGATTGGAGTATATAAGAACTAAAGTTTTAACAAAAGATCACTCCTGATAAAAACACTAGACTGGATTACATAAGATCTGAAGTTTCAACATCAGATAACTACAGATAAAGACACTAGACTGGAGTACATAAGAACTAAAGTTTCAACATCAGATAACTCCAGATAAAGACACTAGACTGGAGTATATAAGAACTAAAGTTTCAACATCGGATCACTCCAGATGAAGACACTAGACTGGAGTATATAAGAACTAAGTTTCAACATCAGATCACTCCAGATAAAGACACAAGACTGGAGTATATAAGAACTAAAGTTTCAACATCAGATCACTCCAGATAAAGACACAAGACTGGAGTATATAAGGACTAAAGTTTCAACATCTGATCACTCCAGATAAAGACACTAGACTGGAGTATATAAGAACTAAAGTTTCAACATCGGATCACTCCTGATGAAGACACTAGACTGGAGTATATAAGAACTAAAGTTTCAACATCAGATCACTCCAGATAAAGACACAAGACTGGAGTATATAAGAACTAAAGTTTCAACATCAGATCACTCCAGATAAAGACACAAGACTGGAGTATATAAGGACGAAAGTTTCAACATCTGATCACTTCAGATAAAGACACTAGACTGGAGTATATAAAACTAAAGTTTCAATATCAGATCACTCCAGATAAAGACACAAGACTGGAGTATATAAGGACTAAAGTTGCACAGCAGATCACTCTTCATGAAGAAACTACACAGGAGTATATAAATACTTAGATTTCAACGTCAAATAAACCAAAATGAATATATAAATAGCAAAAGCTAGGGTGAGCATTTATAGTACAGCATTCTATTTGAAAGTAGACGACGTTTTCTTCTATTATACCTGTATGTTTTAGTTAACATATCCGCGTGTTCCGTTAGCAACACTGATCTCATTAAATCTTCGATCAATGGATTGATCTTATGACTGGGAACTCCACGAAGTGCAGCATACATTTGCAACATCTCCCGTCCCGTCAATAAATCGATCAAAGCATCAAACTGTGGACAATAGCCTGTTCGTTGACGAGCCTTGGTAAACAACATAATTTACATTCAAAATTATAATTTTCATTTACTAAATAACATGTATAACGCGTGCTCTGATTGGTCGATGCTCGTGTTTGTATCAAGCCACCCAAACATGGAAATTTTAAAAATGAAACATACTAACTCATGAAAATAACGTGTACAAAGGCAATTTTTCCCGATTGAAGTATTTGTTGTTGACACAATGATTGAATGTAGGAAGGTTTCGGGGGGGAGGGTCATAATCATATATACATATATCAATACTCTCCCCCCCAACTATCGATGGTTGACCACAGTCGGTACTAAATATACAGCACCAAGTTGCGCAGCGAAATGGTATTAATGTTTGTTTTCTATGCATTAGCTACAGAATAACGAACATAAAGAAGGTTCTTTCTTTCTCTACACAGTTAAAACTAGCCGACGTTTCCACTTTGCCTGTTTCAGGAGCAATTGATCCACAACTAAGGCGTAACGGCAATTGAAATAAATTTCATGCTTGAAATTTGCAACGAACAGTAACCGCGATTCGTATGTATTATTGTCTTCAATTGCGTTTACAGGTGTTTGGGGATCAATTACTGCTGAATCATGCAAAGTCTGAACGTCGGCTGATTTCAAAGACGAGCAGTTTTTTCGAAACATCCTGTTGAGCCATTACTCTGTGGTAATAATACGGGTGGCACAAAAAATGTCAATGAAGTTATCTTCGATATATTCCTCATACTGTGCTGAGGCTGTGTTTCGCTAAAGAATGTGGTTTCGTTGGACGGTGTGCATTGTGGAAGAAGAACCAAAATGGCGTACAAAACAACGGACCATTGAAACGTTTATATTTTACAAGTTTGTTCTGCAGAGAAACTGAAATATATTTGACCAATTACCTACGAAGTGGCCGACAACAAGCAACAACTGAAAAGGGATTTCATTTATGAACAAGTAAGAAATTATTTAATATGTAAGTAAGGGTTAGTGGCTCGATCTTTGAACGTCAAATGTAATTCGCTTGGCTTTTATTTATGGCTGGTTACAACTTGTTTTGCGTCGTAATATTATTGAACAATTACATGTAAAGCTCCATTTCGTAAATGAGCAACACTAAACATTGCAAGGGAAATTTAACAGACATTGCAACGTCAACACTAAATATTGCAACAGAAATTTACCACTAGAAAATAACATCGGCGCGGTCAAAAATATTTGCCCGTTCGTGGCATGCATTTTACGTCATGACCGCGCCAAGTGTGGTGATTTCAACGAAGATTTTCTTTATTTACAATGTAGATGTCATGCAAAATGGCAAAAATTTTGTTGTTGTTTACTCAAAGAGGAGTAGTGACATACCACAGTATGTTTTCTTTGTAAGCACCATTTCAATGGTATACACGGTGTTGAAAAAAACTGCAAACCTGGAATTTGCATAACAGCCTCCTCAATGTCTGCATGCATACCATTTCCTGTTCAACTTTTTCCACAGTGACGTAATGACTAGTTCGAGACTAGTAGGATGGCTAAACTAACAAAACTAACTACGAATTTTATTTAATTTACATCCTAAATTCCAAGCATGAAATTCCTTTAAATGGCGTTTACGTCTCCTTAAGGATGAATTACTGCTTTAAAGTCTTCATGTCGGATCAGCCTCGTAGCCAGGCGCTTTTGAACTATTTGATGATTAATAAATTGAATGTCACATGGCGTGTGTGGGCGTCGCGCGTTAGCGCGGCTGTTACAAGCGTTACAAGCCGCGATTTTCCCATTTTTATTCGCGCATGTCGTCCCGCGCTGCACTTTTTCGCAAAAATGGTTTAGAGCATCAAATCGCCTCGGTACGAGGCTAGCATGTTTACAGTTCGCGGACAGATAATTGAAATAATAATATAACGGAACGTAAAGTACCCATCCAGTTGTAAATTTGGTTCAATGGTCTTTACATGATTCTTCAATTTAAATTAAAGCGGGAAAGGTCCAACAAATCATATACAGTAGCGCAGCCAGTCATACTTTTCACTTCCGCTTTCCTGAAATTTTTGTATTTACTGACAGTGAGAAAAATAGATTTCTAAAGACATGAATAATGGTAATGTTTAAAAATTTACACAGCGGAAGTAAATCTGCAGGCTGGCTACGCTACTGATCATATACAACAAGAAACACATACCCGACTTAAATTAGCCTGAATATCCCACGAGTCAAGGACGGCGGTACCCGAAGTTGGAATCACATCGCCTGTTAACATTTTAAACATTGTAGTTTTTCCCGCGCCATTGACTCCCAGGAGACCGAAGCATTCACCTAAAGGTATTCCCAAGCTGATGTGATCCACTGCAGCAAATGTTCGACGACCTTTCGGGAAAAAATAAGGTGTTTATAAAGGAGCTTTGTTCTTTTATAGAAATTCATTGAATAGAAATTTAAAAAGGACTGTGAACTTTCTAAAAAAGTGTTCATGAAAATCTCGTTTCATTCTCCAGACAATGAGAGTATTGTATATTTTCAAGATAATCTTGTTTCATTCTCCAGATTAAGAAAGTACAACGGTTGGAGAGAGTTTTTTTTACAGAATACATATCACTACGAAGAGAACTCTGCCCATCTGAACAAACACATCAGTAATATACATTTAATAATTTACTGATGCAAATTATGTAAATATACATTATCATTTAAGTTCTCGTAATGCAACGCGGCAACGCTGGTTGTAAAATCGGCCATTACAGGTTCCTCGTGTCTTGAGAATGAAAAAAGATGTCATATATATAACATAAACTTTTTAAGAAAGTCTACTGACATTTTAAAAGTTTTATTTCAACAAAACCATTATTAAAATAGCAAAATTTTCTTTTCATAGACACTTTAAAAGCCCGTTTCGTATGTGAAGACTTTTCTAGTGGTAAAAAATTGTTAAGTTATATTTTCAACGAAGCACAATGAACTCATCGCGACCATCTTTTTTAACTTTGCAAAATATTGTGTTAAAAAACGAAAATTTTTTTGACATGATTTTGACTGATAAAAGAAGGCTTTCTTTCCAACACATCTACAAAAGAAAGCTATTAAAACACAGCAAGGCGAAATTCTCTACCTGGAACTTTAAATATTTTCGTAAGATCTTTCACTAAAAGCACGTCTTCGTTCACTTCGTCGTTGAGTACTCGTCGTTTTTCCGCCATCACATCGGAATCTTCCGTTTCATCGTTTGGATGCAAGCTGTCAAACGGATCGACGTACACCGATCTAAAGGAACTTCGCAACGACCGAATAGCGTTGAAGTCGATGAACAGAATAATAAGCATGAAGAAGATTCCTTCAAGTGGTAACACCAAGAGAAATCGACCAATTCCAGGATTTTCAAAAGCCAAATAATTCGTCTGAGTCCTCGCTTTCAGAGGCATGCACATCACTGGCGCATGTTTTTCCATGCACATACTGTAAAGTCTGATACGGTTATAATTCTCAAAAATATTGGAGAACGACTTTCCAAGGCAAAAGCTGGGGAGTACCAAAAAAGTCCAGTTAAGGACATCAGCAGTGTGACGGTAGTCAAGACTCTGAATGATGAACACAACCAGCAAGGCGAAAGGACCAGTTACAAAATTCAACAACATCAATAAGATTAAAGCTTTCAACGCCGTTTTGAAAAGAAACGAGAAGAGATACACAAACGGGATGATGGCTGAACCATAAAACATCAAAACGAGAAAAACTATTCCAAGACGATAGCCTTCTGCAATGAATTAAAATAAGTTGTTGAGAAATGGTGCGAAATGGGAAAATTCACCCAAACCGAACGTTGCTAACTTCAACGGAATTGTTGGAACTTTTAAGGGTTGACCGAGAGCTTAATGTGACGTTTGACATGCAATTCTGTGCTTCCACCAACTTTCAAGTGAAAAATGTGTTTAAAAAGACAAATATAAATGCTGTGAGCTAACTCCACTGCCAAACATACTTTTGTAAAAGATCGTATCCTAAGTATTAAGGTATGTTGCTATCACAGGCTCACAGTCGCATACCAGATTCAACATCGCAACCTTGATGTAATTTTGTCATCAAAAACTATTGGAATTGTTTAAAGTTGGTTGGTTGGCCGAGAGATTAGGGGTTTGGGTCGAGTTCATTCTCCTTACAAACAAGTATTTCGACAACTACGAGGAATCCTCGAGCATTTTGTAAAATAACTTTATTGGATCACAACGTTCGGATTGGCTGAATGATCAGGCAAATGACGTTTTATTGGAAGATAATTGACAACGCGGAATCAAATTCGGCCTTTCAAATAATCCCAATTTTTTTCGGGTTTTGTCGCCAAAGGCAAGCGAATCGTTTTGGCGACCATGACGACAATGAGAAATCCAACCTGCAATTTTCAGTCCTGCTATGTAGATTTTAGAACATTATTTACTGTTTTTACAAAGAGTACATAAAAATCTACATAACATGACCAAATGCAAGCTACGTCATAGCTTGGGAAATTAGACATACCTGTGTACGCAGGCACGTTAAAACATGCAAACAAAATAACAATGCCGATACAGGGAAGTGTAAAATTCACCAAGTCCCATAACCACGAAGCAGTCCAGTAGCTAATGGGATCAACACCGCTAACGAACTGCACATGTTTTGCACCGCTCGTTCGCTCCTGGACGACAAAAACGACAAAATATGAAGCAAGAGACGCCATGTCAGCCAGCAGAAAGGCAGCTATAATAAGACCAACATTGTTGCTGGAAAGAAAATGAAAGTTAATGAATTTGACCTTGTTGCCTTAGTAACTACTGATCGTTGGCAGATCACTTTAAAGAAAGTGGAGCAGGGAGGCTGGGGGCTATTGCATCCTACTATTGATTAGACCTTTTTGCCTTAGCAACTATTGATCATTTGTAGATCACTTCAGAGAAAGCGGAGCAAGGGGACTGAGGGCTGTCACCCCCCCGAATCCCTTCTTTCCCACTTTCACCTAACTTTGGCAGTCGATAACCCCGCCCCCTAATAAAAAATATGCTCAGCGATCCCTGCCTTTGAAGTGAACACAGTCGTATGTCAGGAATAAATCAGTCTCTCATACATATATATATATAAATATACCGTACATCCTGTGTCCCAAGTTAAGGAGTCACCATTGCACTATGGTGATAGCCGGGAGGGGACATTGCTATACAAGCTGTATACATTACAACAATAGTGCAATGGTGCTTCCTGCACTTGGTACACAGGATGCACTGTTAATATATATCAATTCATAATACATACATATAAATTTCAATAGAAATTGGAGAGACTAAAAAACAATACCTGATTACATAAAAACACGGGCGCTGATTGGTTGAATGCTCAAACAATCGTTGTTTTTTTAACTCAGATTGCGTGATTTTTGCAGGAAATTTAACAGTGAATGATGTTTTATTAAAACGATATTCATTAAGGAAATACAAAATATATTTACTTGTCCCTATATAATTATAGGAACGCTTGTTGTGAAAGTTTGGGAAAAGCTCGAAAGCAAAAAATAACATACTCATCTAAATCATTTGATTTTTGCTCCGTAGTTCTCGGCAAAGGATGATTTGTCACTGTGATTAATTTGTTTTTGTTTCCGGAACTGTTTTTCAAAATGGCGTTGTCCACTGCACTCAGTGCCACCGCTATCGCATGATAAGCTTGATCGTTGAACCAAGCCTTGGCTATTGCTAAATAAGAACACACATAAATTACCTTAAATTCGCCAAGGTTCTTAGCTGATCTACCTCATATTTATGTTTTCTAATGATCTGCAGCACGTTTCTTTATCTACAGATCCTTTCTTCATCTACTGATCCTTCCTTGATCTACAGATCCTTCCTTGATCTACAGATCTTTCCTTGATTAAAAAAATCCTTCTTAATCTAAAGATTCTTCGTTGATCTACAGATAGATCATTCCTTGATCTACAGATCCTTCCTTGATTACAGATTCTTCCCTCATTTACAGATCCTTCCTTTATCTACAGATCCTTCCTTCATCTACAGATCCTTCCTTCGTCTACAGATCCTTCCTTCATCTACAGATCCTTCTTTCATCTACAGATCCTTCTTTGATTAAAAAATACTTCTTGATCTACAGATTCTTCGTCCAACTACAGATAAATCTTTCTTTGATCTACAGATCCTTCTTTGATCTAGAAATTCTTCCTCGATCTACATAAACTTCCTTGATACTTTCTTTATCTACAGACCTTTCCTAGATCGACAAGTCTTTCTTGATCCCCTTACAACATTTTGAACTCATTAAAAAAGCATAAAATGACAGATATTGATTAGAACTATTCCACCATCATAGTTACACACCTTTAGGGAGGGTGAAAACAATGTACACATTTAATATAAACGACAACTTTTTTGACAATACACATGTTTCGACATCTCAAGATGCCATCTTCAGTTTGAGTGAAATAAGCAAACAAAGCAAACAAAGCAACAACCTCAAACTAGACACCAAAACTACTGACACGACGATCACAACCAACACAAATGAAAATTCCAAAATAACAACTCTATACTTCAAACTACCATACATCGGGCATTACTCACGACACACACAACGCAGACTTACAAACATTATGAAACGCTTCTGTACAGATATTGACATTCGACTGATTTTCACATCATTCAAAATCAAAAACCTTTTCTCATTCAAAGACCCAATCCCTGATTCAATTAAATCTATGGTGGTATATGAATTCAATTGCGCGGGATGTAATTCCCGATACATTGGCGAAACTTCGCGCCATTTATCCACCAGAATCAGGGAACATACCACAACAGACAAAAACTCTCATATCTACCGACACCTTCTTAAATCTCACTCATGTAAAACCAACTATTCACCCTATTCCACCATCATCGACACTGCGGACACCTCATTCACCCTTAAAATCAAAGAAGCACTCCACATTAACAAAGCTAACCCTGACCTCAATGTTCAAGTTTTTAAATTCAATACAATATTTAGTTTATAATACGCTCGGACGCTCCTCATTAATTTATCTTATTTCCTTTTTATTTATGTATCATATTACTTTTATATAAACCTTGTATCACCTATTATATCACTCATACTGAACATGGCAACATGAGATGTCGAAACATGTCTATTTTCAAAAAAGTTGTCGTTTATATTAAATGTGTATTGGCAATAGTGCTTTTACGAAATTATGAAAACAATGTAGCTACACAAGCAAGCAATACCTTTTTTATTTGCTTCAGTAAATGTCGCTGCAACCAGATAATGTCTGTTGAAGTATCCAATGTTTCTTCTTTTGGCTTTTTCAAGCAAATATTTCGTCATGTTCCCATCATGGAAAGCACTATCCTTGTCGATATCAACGAACTTAGTGTACGAGCTTGCCGAATGTGTGTACATTTTAACCAGATCATTTATCTCCCTGAAAAAGATTTATTTACGCTTACATCAAATTTTAATATCTGATCGGGATTTTAAATCTGGGCGCGCATTATTCAAAATGTTTTGCTGCGAGAAGTTTAGTTTAATGCCCAGAAATCGAAAACGGTTTTGTTCTTGTAACAAAGATATGAAACAAAAGCACGTCGCTGATTATATTTACTCATCCTAAAGAGGGTTTAGCACAGTGATGGGGCATTGAAATTAAAATAATAGATTAATTTCTAAGTCTCCTTTTAAAACCCTGTTATTAACCATGTTAAGTAGTTTACCATAAGAAAATTGAAACATTTTTCCCTTAAAATCTAAACAATTTAACCAAATAAATGTTTGTGAATGATGATCGTCCAGGTTAATAAAGTCCTGAGAAGGAATAATTTTGTTGTTGTTGACTGACGTTTCGACAACCTTAGCGGTAGTCATCTTCAGAGTCAAATGAGGAGTAAACGTCAGGTTAGCCGTATTTGTTATCTGGTTCTTACGTCATTGTATTGTGTGTACAGGAAATGTGTATTGTCATTGTGAGTTAGTGTGAAGTGAAATATTTTATTTTTAGCTGTGATGTGTGATTTAGGTGTGATGTTTTAGTTGTAATGTGTGGGTGTCAATTGTGGATTTGTCATTGTGAATTAGTGTGAAGTGTATTGTTTTAGTTGATCGTTTGTTTGTATTGTGAATAAGTCGTTTGTAAGGTGCCGGTAATTGCTGTGATCTGTCCAGGGGGGTTTGTTCAAAGTTAGTATACCAACATTCTAATGCAAGCCGTTGTCTATAGTCAGTACTGTAAGTGATGCATTTTGCCGAGTCCCAGTCAATGTTGTGCTTTGTGATTCGGTGATGTTTGGCAATGTGATTAGTTTTGTCTTGTTTCTTAGTAGCTCCTTTGTGTTCAGTAAGTCTTATGTTTAAGTTCCTGCCAGTTTCCCCGATATAGGAGGCGTGGCAGTCGGAACAGTTTATTTTGTAAACTGCACCTTGTCGTTCGTTGGGTTGTTCTTTATCCTTTATGTTCGATAGTACTTGTCGTAACGTTGTGATTGGTTTATGTGCGACACCTATGTTGTATGGTCGTAAGATACGCGAGATAGTCTCAGACGTACCTTTGATGTAAGGTATCGTTGCTATTGTCACTGAGTTGTTCGTTTCACAGCAATTACCGGCATCTTACAAACAACTTATTCACAATACAAACAAACGATCAACTAAAAACATTACACTTCACACTAATTCACAATGACAATACACAATTGACACCCACACATTACAACTAAAAACATCACACCTAAATCACACATCACAACTAAAAATAAAATATTTCACTTCACACTAACTCACAACGACAATACACATTTCCTGTACACACAATACAATGACGTAAGAACCAGATAACAAATCCGGCTAACCTGACGTTTACTCCTCATTTGACTCTGAAGATGACTACCGCTAAGGTTGTCGAAACGTCAGTCAACAACAATAAAAACAGTCCATCTCAGGACTTTATTAACCTGGACGATCATCATTAACAAACATATAACTATACTCCCGGGTTCAAACCATTTCCTTAACCAAATAAAATTGAACAGCTCTGGTTTAAAAATTCGAACAGTTCCAAGAATTTAAATCGAACAAGTCACAAACATATTTTACCAGAAGTTAGCAGGAAATAATATGTAAATGTGATTCTATTTGATTAAATATACAACTGGAAGGCTACTTTTTATACATTAACATGCCTTTTTCTCTGGGGACTAGTTTAATTGCTGGCTTCAAATTTTGGCGGGAAGTAGCCGTCCAGTTATATTTAAGTTCAATATATCTACCTGTTCGGGTTTCCTACAATTGAGTAAGGTGCAATGTTATCATGAAACATAGCTGTCGTCAAAATTCTGGGAGGAGAGTCCTCGGGCTTAGGAATCGTCTCAATGGCAATCAGAGCAAACATTGTGTAAATAAGAGGCACGAGAAGCTGAGGAATTATGGCTATCTTATGTCGACGCGAATGAAGAAAGCGTTTCTTGAACATAGCACACCACCTTTGCAGGAACAAGGTTATTCCGTAGTTTAACTGTGGCTTTGTTGTGTTTGTTATTGGCATCATGCTGTTGTTGCGTCCATATAATGTGTCTTCATCATTCACTGTACTCACAGAATTGCATCCGCTAGATGACGCACTTGAAACACCATGAGCACAAAAACATTTATTCAGTGTTGGTCAAATCAAAACCACAAATCAGCATTTTCTAGAAATGAGTCAATGCTAAACAATCAACAAATACCACTTTTACCACAGCTTACTCTCGAGTGTATCATCTAAAACCTCGTCGCAATCCTTTACTTTCATTGATATCCTGATCAATCAACAATTACCACTTTTACCACAGCTTACTCTTGAGTCTATCATCTAAAACCTCGTCGCGATCCTTTACTTTCATTAATATGCCAATCAATCAACAATTACCACTTTTACCAGATCTTATTCTCGACTCTATCACCTAATGTCTATGCACAATCCTTTACTTTTATTTATACCAAGAAATCAGCACTTACCACCTTTACCATAACGTACCTTTGAGTCTATGACGTAATGTCCCATCACAATCCCTTACTTTCATTGATATACCAGGAAATCAACATTTACCACCTTTACCACAGCTTACCTTGAGTCTATCATTTAACGTGTCGTCACATTCCGTTCCCACTTTCATAAAAACTTCTTCCATGGTTGTCATTGAAGCGCCATAACTAGCAATTCCCAGCTCCTTTCGTCGAGTCTCCAGTTCTGAGAACAACGTGGAAAAATTCCGCGAAGATTCCCGAGGCAAGATGTAGGACAGTTCAGCGCCTAACGTAGGTAAAAAAAAGTATTGCAAAGGACTACTGGCTAAACACTACATCGAAAAACACTTATAACAAAAAAAATGTATACTATTTAAACTTCATACTGATAAAATATGATAAAGTAGGTAAAAATACAAAGCCTTCTCAACAAACGACAGCTTAGTTTGAGCTGACGGGTTTCATTCTTTTGAAATAAAATTTATATATACATGTGTTGTATACCTCGAGAGTCTTTGAAATCAATTGTTAAACATAATTACTAGTCTGATGATGTTTTGTGTATAGAAGAAACGTAACTACCAATAAATAATTTCTTTTCAAAAATGAATTCGAATTTTATGTTTGGCAATTGTTTTTTTAATACGAATACGTTCATATGAATTTGTCAAACAATAAATTTTGCGTTGTTTCCACTCGCTAAAATCATTCAACGCTCGTCACTCCATCGTATCCGGCAGATAGCTGCTGGCTCATATCTGCAGGCTCAAACTATAAAGTTTCTTAGAGAAGTACATTAAAACTTACCAGCACGACTATCCAATTGGCCATTCGGGACGTACTCTTTAACAAGTTCATCAATTTTGTGTTCTTTACATTCTGGTTCTTTGACCATCACTATATGATAACCCACGCTATAATGGTTTTTCAAAAACAATGAACTACCAAAACAACGGACTTTGCCCTCAGCCATTATCGCAATGCGGTCTCCTAAAAAGTCCGCCTCGTCCATGGAATGTGTCGTCAGCAAGATCGTTCGTCCGTCACGATACTTCTCAAGCAGTTTCCAAGTAAACATGCGGGTAGATGGATCCATACCGGAAGTAGGTTCGTCAAGCATTAACACCTTGAGGGAGTGAGTTGCTGAATATTTTAACTTAATAATTAAAAGCATATCTTCTAAGAAGACTTTAAAATAGATTTATGCCTAAGGAGAACAGATCTTGAGTTTTTACAGACTTAAGTCTAGAGTTCCCATCAGGAAATATTTGATGTGTAAAACCTTTAGTCCTTATGTACTCCAGTCTAGTGTTTTCATAAGGAGTGATCTGATGTTGAAACTTAAGTTCTTATATACTTCAGTCTAATGTCTTCAATTGAAGTGATTTGATGTTGAAACTTTAGTCCAAAATACCTAAGTCTATATCACGAGTGATCTTCAGATGTTGATTCTAGTAATAAAACAACTGCACGTGATGTGCACGTGATAATATCTACCTTCGATTTTCCAATCAGCGCTACTCCTAAAGATAGCTTGCGTTTCATCCCGCCAGACAAATATCTGGTCTGAGCGTTAGCTTTATCCGCCAGTTTGATGGACTCCATCATTTTTACCACTTCGCTATCGATTTCATCACTAGACAGACCCTTTAGTTTTCCGAAGAACCACAAATGCTCCTTAACAGTCAGTCGATCGTACAAAACGTCATGTTGTGGACATAAACCTTTTTGAAAATAGTAAAAATGAAATAGACGATTAACTATTTCAATGGAAGACAGTTAGGTCGTGAAAATAAAAAAGACCATGTCTCTAGACAGAGTTACTTTAACTTAGTGATAATGGATCGAGCGATTTAGAAATATCCCAATATAGTGTATGGGATTGAACAGTTTAATCAAATGCTAATTAATATCGATTATTCTAAATACGACATTAACACGATGTTCTTAAAATACATTCTTAAGTGTAGTTTTAAGTTTTACATACTAGTGGAACTGTAAGTAGCTAGTTGAACTATACTCTTCATTTATAGAAGTTACATACTAGTCAAACTGTAAGTAGCTAGTTGAACTATACTCTTTATTTATAGAAGTTACATACTAGTCAAACTGTAAGTAGCTAGTTGAACTATACTCTTTATTTATAGAAGTTACATACTAGTCAAACTGTAAGTAGCTAGTTGAACTATACTCTCTATTTATAGAAGTTAGATACTAGTCAAACTGTAAGTAGCTAGTTGAACTATACTCTTTATTTATAGAAGTTACATACTAGTGGAACTGTAAGTAGCTAGTTGAACTATACTCTTTATTTATAGAAGTTAGATACTAGTCAAACTGTAAGTAGCTAGTTGAACTATACTCTTTATTTATAGAAGTTACAAACTAGTCGAACTGCAAGTAGCTAGTTGAACTATACTCTTTATTTATAGAAGTTACATACTAGTGGAACTGTAAGTAGCTAGTTGAACTATACTCTTTATTTATAGAAGTTACATACTAGTGGAACTGTAAGTAGCTAGTTGAACTATACTCTTTATTTATAGAAGTTAGATACTAGTCAAACTGTAAGTAGCTAGTTGAACTATACTCTTTATTTATAGAAGTTAGATACTAGTCAAACTGTAAGTAGCTAGTTGAACTATACTCTTTATTTATAGAAGTTACATACTAGTGGAACTGTAAGTAGCTAGTTGAACTATACTCTTTATTTATAGAAGTTACATACTAGTCGAACTGTAAGTAGCCAGTTGAACTATACTCTTTATTTATAGAAGTTAAATGTAGTTCTTTTCTCAGTCATTTCACATTGTAAATTGTATGAATTTCCACAACCGGCGGCGTAGCCAGCTCCTAAGTTTGGTTGTATTATGTAGATATTTGAGCATAGAGGCTGGCTAAACCATTGCACCTAACAGTCATAACTCTTTCTAAATGTTTCAAAACATTTCGTTACTTTCTTCACTGACCTAAACTTGACCGTACGCCATCCATGCTTGTTCTAATGTCGTAACCATTGACAACAGCAGTTCCCTGACTCGGAAAATAAAAACCGGTAAGGACAGACATCAAACTACTTTTACCAGCTCCGTTATGACCAAGAAGAACTGTAATTTGTCCCTCGAATATCTTTAGTGTAACATCGTCCACAGCAACTTTTTTACCTGCATAACACACGAAAGTATAATATCGTAACGTGAAGCCGTAATTAACGGCTTCAATTACGGAGGGTGCTAAAAGCTTTAGGGAGACAAGGTGGTAAAGGAGTGATGTAAGACAATGTTAGGGTTTCGAATTTAGGGCAGTCTGGTAGTGTGCAACAACCAAAGGTAGTGTAGAAAGTTGAAACAATGCCCAGGAAACTCAGTTCAACTGTACTAGGGATTTGTTTTGCTAAAAATTGGGGAATTAAAATGTGTCTTGCAGGGGTGAACAATTTATTTAGGGGGGTTAAATCAGATGCCCGGTGGGGCTTGCACTCCCCTACACCCCCCAGTAAATCCGTTCAGGTCATCTACCTTTTACTCCGTCATAGATCTTCACTAAATTTTGATGTCAATCCCACATCCAGACCTTGAGGAGCCCTTTCGAACTTCTTCGATGTTTCGAAATTTTCCGCATTTCTTAATGGGAAGGTTTCTTCATCGTTTGATACCTGCGGCAGAAAGATATTTTACCCAAATCACTCCAAATATAACGCACCAAGCCATAATACATTTTAAGCTGCATTCAGCAAGCAGTCACTAAACTTACGCATCGAAAAAAAATTTGACTTGACTTGAACTTCGTATATTGATAAATTAATCATCAGAATCTTCTTAAAATTATTAAACTGCGCATGTTCAGATGCTTTGCTAGTCGTGGAAGATATCTCACACTCCAGCAGCCTAACATGACGGTTCTGACAACGTAAGCAAAACAGCACATACGACTTCTAATATTATGACAATCTTCAGAATGAGGTCAAAAAAATTTACTACAATTAACCCTTTGCTGCATGGCGTTCATTTAGGGCAGCAATCACCAAAAAAGTTGGAGCTCGGTCGGCGAAAAAAGTTCATGCAGCGAACGGTTAAGGCGAATAGTTTAAGCCAGGGAAGATTGTTAAAGCGATACAACGAGACCAACACCAACAGCCCTTCTCAGGACGACACTAACATACACAATCAATATCTGTATTTACGACTGTTGCTAAGCAAAATTTCAAGCTACCTTTTCAAAGCTTCCACACCAGTAGCTTTTGGTGAATGGGAAGTAAAAAGGTTTCGAAGTACCATACTGTCCTGGGAACACATTTTCAATATACCATGTAAGCATACCATATATGGCACAACTAATAATCATCATGATGAACACAATCCCGAGGGAGAACGTGTCGTCCACATCAACACCATGAAAAAGGTTATCCCATTGAACGCCGCTACCGGATCCTAGAATGTAAAAAACGTTTTGGCGGGATCATTGGTGTCAATCCTGTGTTAATTGGGGTTATTCATATATTCTGTTATGCCAAGCTAATTTCTTTTTAAAACAATTTCATTTCAAAAGAAATCATACGGGCATAAAAGAACATATGAATATGGTCACCAATTATCCCAGGATTGACCTTCATGGGCGGATTAGTATTTTCGTTATTTAGAGAAAAGGAAAACGTAAAATTAGAAACAAAATTGGAAGTTTTCAATGTCGGCCTAAAAACTACATGAACGCTGCACAGTGGTGTCAAGCTCAATAATTATGGGGAGGGGGGAGAGGTAATATTCATAAAGGCATTTTTTGTCAATTATGTTCCTTTCAAATCAATTCTTTTATTTTGAAATTTTGAAGTTTGAAGCTTTGAAATTTCGTTAAATGTTAAGCCTGGTTAACACGAGTAAAATAAGCACGAGCTTCGAGGCTTTTGTTTCTATTGCTCTAGAAGTTTATAAAGACGAAGACATCATGGGATTTTCTTTAAATCTTTTTGTTCTTCTTTTGCTCTTCTCTTAGCTTATGCTTAAATATTTTCCTTATACTTGCGCTTATGTCCATGCTTATGTCACATGCTTCGTTAATTATCTTTGTTTTGTCTTTTGTCTACACTTGTGCTTATCCTTATTTTACTCGTGTGAACCAGGCTTTAAGTTCCCAGGAGAAGAAAAGCTTTCGCGATAGTACCAAAGATATGTAAAACATGCATGAAGCAGACAAGTTAGAATCTCTTTGCATCAGTAACATAGTCATGAAATCATCACAATAAGTCGTCAATTCCTACAGGCATTCTTTGTTCATCCAGTATTCAGAAATCATCTCATTGTTCGTAAACTGCTGTTAACACTGTGGTTACTAGGATCTTTATAAATTCTTTATGAATTACTGAGAAAAGTTGAAAACGCTTTATTATTTACGGAAGCATCGGTTCAGAACCCTTATTAAGTAAAACTAAGGCTTAATGAACTTATATGAGCATGAAGAACATCCCTTCTCAGATGAAAGTAATTTAAAACGAAAGCGGTTCAACACACACAGTCCATCAACGTTTTAACTTACCTTCAAACTTGCCGATGACAATCGCTCCAAGAGAAATGCCAAGATTTGGTATGAGGCATGCAATTGCTTTGAGAGTGAACGACATTTTTTCGTAGTATTGCCATATGAAGAAGAATAGTATGAAGGAAATATACCAAATTATAGCACAAACTTTGGCAGCGGTGCTCACTTTAGAGAAAAAAACGCTTACGAAGAAACAAAACATAATAGAAGAGGTAATATAAAGCAAAAGATAGATGAAAAATATTGTGGGTGCTGTTTTGTCGATAACACTCCCATTACTGTTAAATTTTATCGTGAAAAGAAGCGTCATTATGACAACTGCAACGAGACAAATAAGAAAACTTTGAATAAACCACGCCACCCAATGAAGCCAATGATTGACGCCGATGATTTTAAAGTTTCCTAAAAACATGAAATACCTAACTTAATTAGTTTGTTAGAACACATGAATTAAAGATATAGCTTTTATTGAAATGAGTAAAGCTGTAGTAGCAAATCTTCTCAAAAAACTGAACTACAAATTAATTAAAGATGTCGAAAGAGGGCTCAGTTTGACAACATTTTGGAATGAACAATCAATGAAAACATTTAAAAGGTAGCACTGTCTCTTCCAGGAAGATAAAATTTTCCACCTATCAAATATATTGCAAAATGATCTTAATATGAATTTAATTATCCAAAGAGGTTATTTCTCTGACTTTGATGCAGGCTTTGAAATAAAAGATATCAGCAAATAATACAAATTACAACTTACCTTTAGCCCTTGTTCCTTCTCATATACAATATTACACACAATCACAAGTGCAGTAAACAAAAAGCAATTGCTATGACGACTGAGATTACAAATTGAATAATTGAACTGAAGGGAACCTTAAAATAGTTTGGGAATGGAAATTTTTCCATGCGAACCGATATTTGGTCTTGAGTAGCAAACTGTCCAATAATAGCTCGATCTACTGCATGTTGGGTAAACAAGAAAGCGGTACTATAATAGTCTGGACTGCCTCCATGGGAATCATCTTTATTTCTTGGTTCAGAATTTTGAAACCTCGGAAAACATACTTTGTCAACCAGCCATAGCCATTCTTGCCATGAGAGTAGTCTCCCTTTGGGTTGATGAATCGCAGCTTGTAGTTAATAAAATTAGCCTGTTTTGATGGGAGACAAGTAAAGGATATACCTCCAATGTATTTGGTAGAGTTGCCTTCAGAGGAGCTCATTATTTCATTAACCATGTCATCCTCATTTGGAAATATTTGCAAGGTGATATTTTGATCCGATAAGCATGTTCATTAAGATAAAATGTAAGGTTGTTGAAAAGCTCATGTGACAGTTGAGAAGCATTATTTGCAGCCAAGCCTATAGAGAATGATCTTCTTAGTGCAGGTGGTGGAGAGGTTACATTGAATTCATTCCAAACCAAGGCTGGGCAATCAGTGACAAGGAACAATCGCAAGGCCAGGAGTATGAATGACACGGAGATTGGTAACCCTATTTGAAAAATGGTTCCAATCGGATGTTTTCTTTGAAGCTTGAAATTCTTCCATATCAGTAGACCAAGTTGTTTCAATTTTGACATTCTCCCAGCAAGTTTTTTAACTGGTACCTTTTAAAATAGTCTTAAATTTTCGAAAGAGCTCACGAATGCAAAACCATCAACTCATAAGATCTAAAAAAGAAGTTAAAGTACCATTTACTTAAATAAAAAAACTCCACCATCTTTGTCGTGACACTTTGCTAACACTCATGAGTTAGGAGTCAAAAAAATGCTATTTTTAAATCACGAATTAACGTAGCTTCTTTTACATCTGACCCGATTGCATTACAACTAAGACTTTTCATATACTTATAAGGTTTTTTGTGATGTGACAGCGAGAAACTCTGTAAGACCTCCTTGCCGGTTGACGGATGCTAGTTTTGTACAAAATTCGTATCACAAACTGCTAGCAACTTTCAGTACTACCGTGAAATTGGCACCACATTGGGCACTACATTCAACACAATATTCATCACAACACTCATCACCACATTCAACTAAAATTTATCATTCAAAATGATAAATCGAAAAATCGTCTTTAAAACACGTTTTCCATCAAATACAACAGTAAAAAACAATTCTTAACTGTTTATTACTATTTTACAGTCCTTAACCATCACAATAAATGTATAAAAGTCAAGAAATTGAAGAAAACACTAAGATTTATATTACAGTGTACTTACCATTTCTCTTAATTAGCCTATAATTTAAAAACTACACGGCCAGAATATAGATAATTATATTGTCTAAAATATATCCAAAATCTGGAGGTGGCACAAAAAAATAAGTTATAGAAAATCATCGACATAGTTAGATGACACGAATTCACGTAATATAATCTTATATAATTAGGTTGAGAATTTCAAGTCATTGCAAAACAAAGGCCTGTAAATAAAAAACTACACGGTAGAATTCTTTGAAACTTGGCCAGAATATAGACAATTATATTGTCTAAAATATATCCAAAATCTGGAGGTGGCACAAAAAAATAAATGATAGAAAATCATCGACAAAGTCGGATGACACGAATGCGCGTAATATAATCTTATATAATTAGGTTGAGAATTTCAAGTCATTGCAAAACAAAGGCCTGTAAATTAAAAACTACACGGTAGAATTTTTTTAAACTTGGCAATATTGTAGATATTCTTATTGTCTATAACATATCCAAAATCTGGAGGTGGCACAAAAAAATAAATAATAGAAAATCATCGACATAGTTAGATGACACGAATTCGCGTAATATAATCTTATATAATTTGGTTGAGAATTTCAAGTCATTGCTAAACAAAGGCTTGTAAATAAAAAACTACACGGTAGAATTTTTTTAAACTTGGCAATAATGTAGATATTCTTATTGTCTATAACATATCCAAAATCTGGAGGTGGCACAAAAAATATATCGTAGAAAATCATCGACAAAATCGGATGACACAAATGCGCGTAATATAATCTTGCATATTTAAGTTAAGAATTCCGG